AAACACGCATATAAACTACTCGACTCAGCTCAGTCACCCACAGCGTTACAGTTCAATTAGTATCCGTATCCAAAGATGTATGAGCATCCATACCCCTACAAAATCTCTTCTCATTTCCTTATGTTCTACTCCAAAAAATATATGTCAAGGAAAAATGACAGAGAATGACAGAGCATAAGCACGTAAGAGAGGTAGTACCTAGCGAGGACGGAAGGGCGAGAGAACCAAGGGGCGGGGGTCCCACTGGCGGGACGGTTTGGGACGGCTGGGCTGTCGAGCAGTGGTCTCCGGTTGCCGGCCGCCGGAGTGGAATCGTCGTCTCTCCGGTTAGCGACATTGTTGCGGGCACTGAATGAGGATTTCTTAGAAGGGGTCGAAAACATTTTTGCTCCTTACAGCGTGATGGTTATAGGTTTTACACTTCCGCTTGCAACATTTTTGGAAAAGGAAGTTTATCTGTTGGCACCATTTTCGCAAATCCAGCTTTCTTTGTACGCTGGTAAGTTCACGTGCTATCAAATCAGTTTACAAGAATAATTTAATTAATTATTAAACATATCATTGAAATTAGGCAAAATTGAATCACATTGCACCAACTTTCAATTTTTTGCAATTTCACCACCTTTCAATTTTTATAATTTAATCACCACCTTCCAAAGTTTGCAAATAAGTACACCAACTTTAGACATTTAGCAAATCAAAGCATGTCAAACGAAAATCGGCAGATGATCTCTTACTTGGCATCGTCCGAAACACACGTGGTTTTTAAAAATAAGAAACGAGAAATTAAAATGCCACATCTCATCTTCTTTTATATACGATAAATATCAAATTTGTGCCCTAAATAAAAATTCAGTAGATTCCTCAACCCTAAATTCAAAATTAAGCAGATTCCTCAATTCCTAAATCAAAAAATTGTCGATCAATTTGAAATGTTCTATTGTGGCCACTGATCGAAGAAGGGGTCCCGGGGCTGCTGTGAGCCACTAAGAGCATCCACAATACTTTGGGTTCTTAAAAAAAATAATATACAGGCCACGTAGGAAATAGACCAAATCTAAAAAATTATTTACTCCAGTGAAAATGCAATTGGATTGGGTCATGCTGATGTGGCAGCAAAAAAATGAGACCCGGTCTCCCATTGAGTTTATTTTAGACTTGAGTAGAGAACTAGTCTCCTTGCATTGGAGTCAATTTCGTTAGTTTCAATATTTTTGTCCATGTCATCCAAGACTTAAGTCTAGACCCAAAACATTGTACATGCTCTAACAACAACCCCAACTGATAATTAATATCTCTTAAATTAGTTTTAATCTAACAATTAAGATTTAAATTGAAAATGTAACAACAGCCCCAATAATTAATATCTCTTAAATAAGTTTTAATCTAACAATTAAGAAATAAATTGTTTTCTCATTCTCTTAAACAAAATTCCGCCACTAGCTGTAGGCTGACTTTTTTTAGTAGAATAAGCTGTAGCTTTCCACTTTCCAGTATGCATAATTCAACATCAAACTCTAATGCCTAATGGTCAAAATTAAAGCGCAAATAAATGTAATATTAAATAGTAATTGAAGAATGATTAATTTTAAAAATAGCACCAGAAAACATGAACATGTTGTAAAAAGTGGACTAACATGTTGTAAAATGTGGAATAACAATTTGTACAAAAATGACTATGAATAGTAAATTGTGTAGGATTGTCAAATGAGGTGGGCAAAATTTTACCTATAAATACATGCTCAACTCATTATGTACATACACACAAAAAATACATTGAAAGAAAGAAGAGAAAGAAATAATAAAGGAAAAATTTATATTCGGTTTCTATATTTTATGTTATCGATTTTTCCGTTTTTATAACACGTTATCAGCACGAGCGCTCTACCCGGTCAAGAAGGTATGAATATAATAGTTATGTACATATGTATATATATGTATATATATATTACATAAAATTACTATATTTGACTAATCCATATATTACCATTATTATTGGCAAGTAAGGTTTTGCCATAGTCAATAATATGTGGTAAGATGATATTATTAAATTTACTTATGAATTACTATTGATTATGAAAAAAAAAAAAAAACTTCAAATTATAATATTTGTACTTAACACCCACAAAATAGTTTACCCCAATAATGTGGCGTGAAATTTATATCTGCTTATTCTTGTACCCACCGAAAGATTTATCGAGTAGTGTGGAGTGACATTTTTATTTGTTTTGTTACTTGTATTTACTAAAATTATTCAAATAGTGACCCGGAAAATTTTTAAGGTAATATATATAATTAATTAGAATTTTATAATCATGAATGATTAACTAAGAATTATTACATCATTAATTTGTTCCTAACGGCTAGTTAACGGCTACATAGTAACGGCTATTTTTCAATCTCTATATATATAACACTACACTTCACATCTTAACACTCATTCCAAAATACCAAAATTTATTCCCCTCAAACGAAAAAAAAAATGTTTCATCTTACCGATATATTATTTATTATATGTGTTTTGTTAATGTTCACGATGATGTATCATTCTACTGGATTTAAAATTTATGTATTAAGTATTTGTATAATGTGTTTAGTACTTGCTCTTATGTATGTTGTGAAGAATGAATGATTATATATGTAATTTTCTTTATTGGTTATTAAATCTAAGCATTGATGTTGTATTTTATGGTTATCATGGCAAATTTGGTCAAACTCGAATTTGAAGCTCTTGATATATCTGAAAAAAAATTATATTTCATGGACATTATAATGAAACATGAATATAAAATTTCAATTATTCATCAAGCTTCATATAGATTTTATCGGATACAAAAGGCATACGGTATCAAAATTAGCATTTTACAATTTCATAATATATCATTTAAATAGAACTTTGATTTAAGACCAATATTAATATGGTTTATTATAATACATTAAATATATTATAGTTATGAAATGCTTGAATTTTGTTATTATAAAGATAATTTGATACATGAGCATGTGCATATTTATGGATTGGATATCTGAATATTGGGTACATGAACATGTGAATATTTATTGACCCTTGTGATACGAAAATAAGTATGTGTGGCTACATAGACGGCCAGTGCGGCTCTGCCGCCAGCACGTAATATTTAATGGTAGCCGTTGGGTCAATTGTTGAAATATGAAAAATCATGTAAAATGGTCGAGCAGTGTATCCACAAAAAAAAAATAAGATTTGAACAACTAAGTGAACCGGTCAGTGTATTGAATAATGATGACCGGTGATGGCCAGATGATAAGTATACTAATGATAACCGGTGATATGGAATGCCAGATGATAAAGCCATGTACAAGAAATATACATATAAAATGATATGAATGGCTATATATACATGGGCAGACTAGTGCGGCTCTGCCGCCGGCGACGGATAATACAGATTAAGTGATAGCCGATGAATGGAATTAATGATACTTTGTATCTGGCCATATGAAAAACTTATTAAAGTCCTGACATTATATGGACTAATCTGATCTTGGAAAATAATTGATAAATTTTCCAAATTTGTGGAAAAACAAATATTGATGAGATCCTACCAGTAGTTACCACATGATTAATGTGATGTCGAAAGTTACGATAGAATGATTAAATTATATATGATATATTGGTACTGAAAGCTACCACGTTATGATTAAACAAGGTGATGAAATGGTACCAGAAGCTACCATAGAATAATTGAACAAAATGAGAAAATAGTTTTAAAAGCTACCAGTTATGGGTGATCATACAAAATAATTTCTCAGTATATTATATGAGTCTAAGGGACTATGCCAAATGACAAAATCACATTGAGATTTGAGATGATATAGATATTACAATGAAGTGCTCCAGAAGAAGCACATGTGACAATAATTGTAGTGATGACGTACTACATACTTATCTTGAGGAAATGCGAAATTGATATTATTATTACTGAGAAACAAGTACAGAATGTTCAGATGATAGACATATGGAGAAGAGGCAATAAATACTCGATGAATACAAAATACGCAAATATTACATAATAGAACCCATAAAAGAAGGGTGCGTCTCGAGAGTATAAAACTCCGTAACTCTGCCACCCATAAATGATATTTGGGTTCATAATGAGAGATCTAAAGGATCAAAAGCTCTTTTTCGCTTGACAACTTGTGTTTCCACAGAATCTTGAAATGTGATGCATTCTTGAAGCTTTTTGATAAGTTCAGCAGATGTGTCTGCATATTTGAATATTTCTCTCGCTGAAGGAGATATAAAGGTTTGATATACTCCTTCATCTAAAAATCCAAGAAAACCATGAAAGAAGTTATTAAAATTAAACAGACCTATGGGCTTATTATGAAGTTTCAATTCTACCCAAGAAGCAATGACAAACATTTTCATTAAAGTTCCATAACCGCCTGGAAGAATAATAAAAGCATCGCTATTGTTCACCATATCCATCATACAGTCATAAATAGAATGAGTTAGCATCATACTCGTGGAATCTTTGACGACCCTTGTTGAAGCTCTATGAAAAGGTATGATACTTTTCACTTCTATATCAAAACATATTCCAGCCATTAAAAGGTTATCAAAGAAAGTGATGCTAGTCCCTCCATACAGTAAATTGATTTTTTGATTCCCCATATCCCTTACTAGCTGACTTATAATATCAATATTTTGATAAAAACTTACCAGTTTAGAACCACCAAGAACACAAATGGTTTTGATCGGATGAAGAAAATTATTACATTGCGAAGACTCTGGAACATCCATCTATTTATTGATAAACTAAATTTTTCAAAACTTTGCGAGATATATGATTATGATGAATGACTCGCTATTTAAAGGAAAGTTTTTGCAAAACGATAAATACTTGTACTGTTTTTCTTCTGACAATTGCGACCGACAGATAAGGCATGGGGTTTTAAATAAATCTTATTTGTCGGCAATTATAAGGATTTTTGTAAAATTACAGTACAACCTACTAAACTGTATTAGTATGATTTTTCGTACTACCAAGACAAATTTTACAAACTTGATCTTTTGAAATAATATTTTTTAGACTGTAACGTTCTTCTTCACTTTTGAACTGAGTCCATAAAGACATAATCTCACGATGCACATACCCACTAGGATGTGTCTCAAGAATCTGTTGAATCGTTTGATCCATAGATTCCTTACTCAATCCATCCTTTATAAATGCTATTTTATCTTCTCGATTTTTGAACACGAACCCCACAGATTTACATCGTGTGTCACAAGTCCATCGAGCGCATTTGAAACATCCACCTAATCTTTTTGCTCTTCGTTTCTTTGCAAAAGTACTTTTACCCATACCTGGCATATATTTATATGAATTTGGAAACTCTCCAGACAATCGAACTTTTGCTTCAATCAACCATCGAATATCACTTGGAATATCATTAATCATTAGCACCCTCAATCTTTCTAATCTAGATCGATAAATCTTTTTTATGAT